CCTTGCTTCCTTCCTTCCTTCCTTCCTTCCTTGCTTCCTTCCTTCCTTCCTTCCTTCCTTCCTTCCCTCCTTCCTTCCCTTTCTTCCTTCTTTCCCTTGCTTGCTTGCTTCCTTTCAGTATAGCTGCCCATCTCCCAAATGTGACTCTGTAGTTCCTGATTGTAGAAGGGGCAGCCCCTGCAGCAGTGCTGTCTCCCTGGCTGGAAGGCCAGGTCCCTCGTCCCTAGCAGCAGGCAGATTACCTGTTCAGCTGACTGGCAGGGACAACCCCGGTCAGCTGAACAGCTGGTTGGTTGCCGAGAGAGAGAATAAGGAGGCTTGCAATGGTTGTATTCTAATTCCTTATGACCGTCCTTCCCTTTCGACCAAATAATTCAGATTTGTCTGTCTTGGTATTTGGCACTGGCATTTCCCAGGGAAATGGCTATTTTCCCTATACATTTCACTGAATTCTATTCCAAAGTGACTGCACTGCAGCCATTTTTTTTTTTTAAAGGGATTTAAAAGAATGCAACTCGAAAGCTGTTGTGCTGATTGCAGTAAAATGTGGCATGCTTAATCTCATCATAAAGATCTAGTTAGTTTGCAAATTTTATCCCACTCCGTTTGTGCCTGTCCCATAGCCAGCACTGGGACAAATCGCTTTCTGTTTTAATAAATCTTGTGTAATGGATCAGGCAACCTGTAGGATCAGACAATGTACGGTTCAGTCCAGAATGAATTCAGTATGGTGTCAAGTGGGGCAAATAACAAAAGCATTGTCACACTGACGCATTACAAGCTCCACCCCTTTTGTACATGTGTTGTGATGTCGTACACACAAATGAAAGCGGTGGAGCTTGAATTGCGATGGCACAACGCTGCTTTTGGTCATCTGGAAGCTCCAGATTAGGTTCTCAGACCTAATGGCCTGGTCTGAAAGAGCTAGTGAGTGTAAGCTTACTGCAGAATCAGAGAGTGTAAGCCTCTGAATTTCCAGTTGCTGGGAAATTCCCGAGCAGGCAAGCAGAATGCCTGGGCCCTCTTTGTGGGCTCCCCAAGGCATTGGATTGTCCCCTGAGGTAGACAGCACTGGACTAGAGCAACTTTGGGTATGGTCCTGCAGGCTCGGTGTTCCCTGCCTGAGGCCACCTTGTGCTCACCTTCATTTTTAGGTATTGTTGTTACATTCCTGTGGTCGGCTGTGTCCCAATTTTCTAAAAGTTTTTACCGCAGGCATCTTTGGTATGAACCATAGAAACGACTTTGTGGATTACTTAGAACCCTCCTCTGTATGTTGCAGGTGTGGCTCTTGCTGTTGTCCTGAGTGGTGTTCGGCACATCAGTGACGAAGTCTTCTTAGAAGCTGCAAAGGTAAATGAAGTAGGTTGGTTGGGATACTGAGCAGAGTCTTTTCTGCTATGGTTGTTAATCATGGGAGTGATAGTCCTAGACATCTGGGCATCCAAGATTGGATCCCCCAAGATTGGATCCCCCAAGATCCCCTAGGTTGGGGGAAAGCTATTTGGAATACAGAGATATACAGGTGGTCCCCAGTTTACAAACAAGTTCCGTTCCCAAGGTCTGTCTGTAAGTCGAATTTGTACGTAAGCCAGAACAGTATTATTCTATAATTCTGTATAAGTAATATTGTGTAAGGAACTCGAACCATTGTGGATTTAACTTGAATCATTGTGGATTTAACTCAAATTTTGCTACAGTAGGCTCTGTTCTTAACTATGGGTTGTCATTAAACCGGGCATTCTTAACCTGGGGACTATTGCAGTTTCTGGTTATATGGGAGAGATTTGGGGTGACCAGTTGAATGTAGATCCAAAATGACATTGCCATAGTGACTGGGGATGATGGGAACTGTGGTCTACTATTCTTGAGGGAACATGTATTCATGATACCTAAGCGAGGCTCTGCTTTGTATTCCAAGAAGAGAGGTTTCTCTTGGGTGCAGTTTTGTATACGATGTGCAGTGTCTGTTCAGGACAACTACAGCTGGGCTTCTTATTCCTTTTAACTTTCTGCCCTGCATCTAAGGGAAACAGTGTTCCCAAAATGACTTCCGTAACATCAAACAGGATAAAACCCTGATAGAAACAGAACTAAAACAAAAACGCTGTATAAAAGTTAAGCTGCTTCTTCAACTTTATAAAGAGTTTTGGTTCCACTGCCTGATCCTGGGAAGGCTTTGTTCTCTGATCCTGGGTGCCCTAACTCTGTTGTTGCACGGCCAGTTTGGGAGGTTTACAGATGCCTTCTTTTCCTCCTCCTCCTCCCTCCTCCCTGTTTTTGTGTTAAAAGACGTTGACAGAGCAGCTGAGCGAGGAAGAGCTGGCAGAGGGAAGACTTTATCCCGCACTAGCCAACATCAGAGAAGTTTCCATTAACATTGCTATAAAGGTAAGGACCCATTTCAGGAAAAGGCAGGAGGAGCAAGAAATACATGCTCCGAAAGATTGCCAAGGCAGGCAGTTTGATACTCCAGGAACTGGAAATGCTTGTCTGGAACAAAACAGTCTCCAGTAGCTGCTTGAACAAGAGTTGGAGGACTGCAATGTGGAAATTCCCATGTTGGAAGGCAGTCTGGATGCAGGTTCTAGGGATAAGCCACATCTTGAAGGCCTGCTTGTGCATCTCTGAAATTGGGGGGTCCCTGCTGGATCTTGGGCTCCTCTAAAAGAGCCGCGGGCAACTTGTTTCTGGCAAGAGCTATTACTGTGGTGAGGAGGTTCTGGAAACTGCAGAGATGTTGAGATGAGCCAACGATATAATTGGAGTAACGTGGCCAACCTTTTCACTGGGATTTGGAGAAGCTTGCTCCAGATAGCATTATTTTTCCTGCTTTTATTAAAAAAAAAAAAAAAGACAGAAAAAAAGCCATATTCCTGAAACTTGTTCTTTTCCTGTTGAATTTTTGGCACTAAGATTTTTCAAGGGTCTGAAGAGCTGTAGTGCCCACCTCTTTGTTAAAGCAAAGGCAAGAGATATTGAGAATTAGAATCCTACAGTTGGAAAGGATCGTGTTGACTGTAGAGACCAGCTTTTTGCTCAGTGCAGGAATTCTAATTGCAGTTCAACAAGATTGTGGAGGGCCCAGGTTCCCATTCTTGTCTCTCTGGAGCTCATCAGATGCATTATGCTCCTGAAAGCTGTTGCAGTGGCTGTGAGGTTGATGGGAGTTGTAGTTCAGCACATCTACAAGACTTTGGTTGGAGAAAGCTGCTGCAATTGAATCCTTTCCTTTTCTCCTCTAGGTCATGAAATATTTATATGCCAACCACATGGCGTTCCATTACCCAGAGCCTGAAGACAAGGCTCAGTACATACGATCAAGAATCTGGAGTTATGAGTATGAATCCTTTCTGCCAGATGTGTATGACTGGCCAGTGTCTACATCCTACTCATCAGACACATACTGACTTGCTCAGAGGCATGCAACATCCCCGAGGGGTATCTGAAATTCTGTTGGGAACCCCTTTCCAGAACAAAATTTGAAGTAGGACAGCCTGAGACTTAAAACTTCCTTTTTGTGCTAAACAGTTGAGCCAGGCACATAACTGTCACTTGGTTTACTTCCTATGTTGGATTTCCTCTCTTCTGAGGTGCATTCCTATGGGCAAGTTGGTTGCCTGAAACAGAGTTGAAATTTAATACATTTTCTATTCTTCCCAGGAAGCTAATTGAACAAAAATGGGAAACCCCTTAATTCTTTTTATCTTTCATTGTTGGTCTGCTGTGTGCTAAAGCTTTTTCTGTACTGTCCCATTTCAGGCTGTAAGCTGCATGGGTTTACCTCACTGAATGCTTCCCCTGAGCCAGGTTCATGGAAGACAGAACGTTAGCAAGTCGAGGAGAGAGGGTTGGCCTAGCGTTCTTCTTGCTATTTTGTTTTTACTTCCAGAGATGTCCCTTTTCATGGGAGAAGCCTCCAGAAATGCTCTCCTCCCTCTGTAGTCTAGAAAAAAATTCACTTCTTCATTCTGCTGGAAGCATAAATTGATGACCAAATCACGCCATCCATTTTTATACCGATTCTGTTTGCAACCTTGATGGCTCCTGCCTCTGTCCTATGTGCTGAATTTTGTAGCATGAGTTGCACGAAGCCAGATTTGCTGAAAAGAGAGGCTTTCCAGCTTCCTTGCTCTGTACAGAGTTGTTCCTCCCTAGATTCAAACATATAATTCTGTCCTACTTAGCTCTGCAGGTTTTTTCTGAATTTTTTTTTTTTGCTCTGGGAAATATCATTGTCAGCAAGCAATGCTGCCATCTCCAGGATCCGTGTGCGTTTGTGTGCTGGCGTCTCTGAATTCTGCAGTGAATAATGCAACTTTGGTATTGGCACTTGCTACATATCACCTCCCTGACATTTGTTATACAAAGGGGCTATTTCCCCCCCTCTATTTTGTCTTTTCAAGTGATTTTTTTTGTTCTGCGTACTTAGATTGCAACACTCCTTAATCTGAACCCCATGACTGCTGCTTTCCCCCCCCCCCGGTCTCTGTCTCATTGATCTAATAAGGGGGGGGGAACATGTGCTTCATTGCCCCACTCTGTGCCCTAAACGAAGCACACCTCACTCCAACGAAAAGTATTTCTTTTTTATCTCCAGCTAACCTTGGTTTGTGACATGCCTATATATGTTAGATCTGGGATCTTCTTACCGTTATTTATTTATTTATTTGCCCATTGACCTTGCTATGTTTCTGGGAACCCGTTAAGAATGTAAAAGCTGCCCTCTTGGATAAGTCAATCTTCAGTTGGCCTGTCCAACAAAAACGACAGTAACAATAACCTCTCCATTTCCTCCCGTGGTGTGCTAGGTGTGCTAGGTGACAGTGCAGTGTGAAAAGGTGGAAGTTTTGCTTTTTACTTCATTCATCGCAGGATGAGCGGCCCAGCCTCTGTTTTCTCAAGGAAGCACAAAACCACGAAGAGCGCAGAGCAAGTGTCGCTGACAGAAATGCCCCCAAAGCATCTTGCTTAACATGATCAGGAAGGAAGACGGTCTCAAAATGTCACTGCTCCTCATAATTAAAGCCCTTTGCTGCCTCCATGAAATGTCTGCGGAGCAAAAGGATTTTAATGTGCGTTTTGACATTTACCTGACATAATTCCACCCTAAGGGTGAGGCCTGTTAGATATGTGGTGCCTCTTAAAGTAAGAACGGGCGCAGTGCAGTCTTTTCAGGTAGCAGGATGAATTTTCACATGAACTTGGCACCAGCCACATTCCCAGATAGGGTGACTGAGACTCCTGTGCCTAGATTTAGCCCAGAATCTTGGAATTGTAGTCTCAATGCATCTAGGACGGCAGATTGGAAAAGGCTGGGGGAGACTCTACACTTCAACTATGTGTGGTAACTATTTAGAAACTTTGCAATCTTTTGTTTTACAGTGCTGGACTGAAACATTTTGAATAGAAGTTTACTTGGACCCCCCCCTTTTTTTTTTCAATTTGGTTAATTCGGAAGGGACTGAATGGTGACTTTGTACCCTGTTTTCTCACAGACTCTTTCAGAAAAGTGTCCTGCACCATTAGCAATTTTCCTTTGCTTTCCTCTTCCATATAGTGTAGAAATATCAGTGAAACTGTAGCATTTTATATATGGCACTTCAACGGCGCCATACTTAAATCAGTTATAACTGCCCAATGGGATGATGTCTATTTGTAATTTAAGCAATCATAAGGAATAATATGGGGTACTTTTTTGGAGAACTTTAACATTCTCAGAAGACTTTAAGTATCTGAGAAATAATTGGGAAAGAATTCAGTTTCAGATTGACGTTATGCTCCGTTCTTGCCCTGCGTGCATGGCTTTACAATCATGTACTTGTGGAAGATGCTTGTGTGCTCTTAAGAAAACGTTTTATAGGGGTCCAAGAAATGAATATGAATGGTGTAGTTGACCAGTGCCTGAGTCAACTACATGGGGTCATGTTGTTCATGAGGACAGCACATACCTTTTAGACAAATTCATAATGACTTTCCACTAGTGGACGGGAATTCATACTAGAAAATGCTAGCAATATTTGTTAGACTGCATACTTCAGTATAAACTCAAGCACAATGATATTTTATCCCATATGCGCCTACAAGGTTCACAATCAGGTTGTCCCAGTCTGGACTGTGCCACCAGCTATGCTGGTTCTGGGATTTTAAGAGTCAAAGTTCAGTCCATCTAAAGGAGGTTAAAGTTTAAGAAAGGCCCTGGATATCTTAAGCTGAACATCTAAAACACCTACAGCAGAACATAGCTATCCGCAGTGTTTAATTGGGATAGCTAGCTTTGAACATACGATCTGTTGACACTCAATAAATATGTAGTTGGCTGAATTGAAGCAAAGTACGTGAATTAAATATTTTTGTCAGATGATGTGTCTCTTGTTGACTGATACTTCTTGAGACATAAAAATCCCTACAAGGAGAGAAAGCTGCCTTGAACTGTTGATTTCAGTTCTGCATGTGCTGGGAAATAATAATAATAATTATTATTGTTGTTGTTGTTAAAAAATAGGAGGGTCTTTTCAAATTCTGGGTGCTCAGAAACAAATGTGTGTGTGTGTTGGAAAAGTATACCAGTTCTTAATCATAAGATCTTCCTTTTGGGGGCACTTAAGCCTGTATGAGCCACTTCTAGTCAAATCTACAGTAATAATTTCATGAGCACATACAACTCTTTCTCTCCTTCCCCCCCCAATTTAAGTAGAGGTATTAGAAATTTAGAAAATAACATAATGTCAAATTGAGGAAGTTTGCTGGATAAATAACTGCCGAATTCTGCATTTCTTTCCTGGTGTATACCTTAGGAAAAACTACGCTGTTTAAAAATGTTTTTAATTTAAAACATGTCCCTTGCAATGTATTATTGTTTGGAAAATAGGCATCTTGTCTGTTTCAATCAGATTGTTTTATTTTGTTTGGGCCTCAAACATGGTTTTATTGATAGCATTTTTCTACTTGCTCATTCCCATTAATTTGGTTTTTTAAAACGATGTCAACTTACGCTGCAGTTTGCTTTTAACAGCTGTGTTGAATGATCTCTCTCGAGACCTCTTTGTGAACATGATGGAAAATGAACGTCATTTCGAAGGGATGGATTGTTTTTAGTAAAGGTCACAATTCCTTTGGTCGGATTGGATTTCTGAATCCAAGAAGACTGGGCGGAATTGGAACACAGCTGATTTGTAAACTTGGCCCAAATCTCCTTTAACATCATGTATCTAGTTCAGGGAAGAACTGGTTCACACAAGCTGGAAACGAATAAAGCCGTGACTCTGGAGTTCCTGGTATGTTCCTTGGAACTGACTCTAATTTGAGGACATTATATACAGGAAAAAGGGACCTGTTTCCTTTAGGTGAAATAAAGACAAATGAGGGGTAGTGCTTCAGAACCCTTGCCTGTAATCTTGAAAGTCTGAATGGGGAATGGTGACATCATCTGAATCAAAATTAATAAGGATTAAGTAATACATGTAAATTCCATTGATCGTTCTATTCCATCAAAATTTTCCTTCCTAATCTGTTCCGCTGGATGTGTTTGGAGTGTAACTTTCAAAATGTGACTTCCTGCAGGGCTGCTGGATGGAGCAGGCTGGTACAAAGATTCTTGGGGCAGTTTAAAGCAAATTATGCCTTGGTGGGAGTATTTCTCCCAAAACCAAAATAACTCTCAGGATCTAACTTTTTTCCTAGAATATTGTTTATTGCAAAGGGAGCCTTTGAAAACAAACACTGTGTTTCTAAGCTGCAAATTTGTTTTTTCCTCTTCTGCTAATGTTGTACTGAGAGATGGGCCACGGTTGTCTATTTTCATAGTAAAAGCTTTTCCTTTTTGCCTACAGTTATGTGTCCAGCTGTTTTATTTTGCTGAGTTGCGCAAAAGCCTTGTCTACAGCAAGCACACCTGCTGGAGTTGGTGGGCTGTGTAGTCCCACTGCTCTGGAAGAGCATGAAGCTAGGAAGGTTGCATTCATGGAACTGTTCCGCTTCCTCCGATATCCCCATGTGCTGAGTCAGCACAAAGCAAAGGATGCTGAAGTCAAAGTAGTCAAAGTAATCTTTATTGTCATTGTACTACTTGTACAACGAAATTAAATGCCACTCCAGTGCAGCTTTAAAAATATAAAAATCATAGAACACATAAAACACACAACACACATAAAACACAACCTTCACATTCCATATTGCACAACCCCTGATGGTGCATTAATACTACAGGGAAATGCAGATTGATCGGAAGAGGAGTTTGGGACAAGGGAATTCTGGGCTAGGCTGAGCATCCTGGGAGAAGGTAATGGAAAACCACTTCCATAATGTTACCAGGAAAACAGCAGGGACACAGTCCTTGAGAACAAAGGTCAACTTAACCAATCTTTACCTTTTCATAAAGGAACCGTATGAACGAACACTAGTGTATGCTGGTTCAGGTATTCCTAAACCTGGGAAGTCTGCTGAGAGACATCGGTGGTATGGAGCCCTACTGTGGCAATTGTAATGTTTTGTCCACATCTTTGGATGAGATCATTGTTGGGAATCTCTGAGACCAGCAAGCTTAATGCTTGTGGGAAGCTGCTTAGGAATTCGGCAGCTATTTCTTGAAGTCTCATCCAAGCAGAAATTTGCATCCAACCTTCTGTGTGTTGGCCATTTTTTTATGATGCAGCCCTGTGCGAGCAGATGTCCAAGGTGTGGAGCGTTCAGGCAGCAAACACTTTTTTAGATGTGCACCCAAGAGGTTTTAGGCATATACTTCAAAAGGTAAGGTGTGAATGGGATAAAACACATGGGTTTGATGACTAAATTTCTGAAGTTTGTGTGAGGACTGTGGTGTGTTTTGTGGCGTTTGGAAGGTGTTTGGTGTGCTTGTCAGCATGGCTCCAAAGA